TTACCACTTTTTGTACGGTGGTCCTTAAGCACTTCCTTAAGTACTTTTTGTACGAAAGTACTTAAGGAAATTCCTGTTTCAATTTTCCTCCGTGGTCTGTGGTCTGACATTGTCACATTTTTAATCACCTGTTTATTTTTGTGATACACACACACACACACACAAATATTATATATATATATATATATATATATATATATATATATATATATATATATATATATATATATATATATATATATATATATATATATATATATATATATATATATATATATATATATATAAATATATATATATAATATATATATATATTATATATAACTGAAAACTCACACCCCAGAAGTGACTCGAACCATGTCCTTATGGTTCCTTATGTTCCTTCCTTATGTCCGGTCGTGATGGTCAAGTGGATTAAGGCGTCCTGTACATACCAGTTGCGTTGCTCCTGGCAGTATCGGTTCGAGTCACTTCTGGGTGTGAGTTTTCAGTTATATATATATATATATATATATATATATATATATATATATATATATATATATATATATATATATATATATATATATATATATATATATATATATATATATATATATATATATATATATATGTATATATATATATATATATTTATTTATATAGTGATAGATATATTTATGACAGTGATAGCATAATAGAACTCTGTTTAGTGTTTGCAGGTTATAGTTGTGTGTGTGTAAACTAAAGTCTTTGAAAATGTAATAAGTTATTGCGAAATGCGTTCAAGTGTTGCGTCAGACTAGAAATAAAAATGAATTTTGGAGAATTGATTTTTCAATTACCATCGACAGTGAAAAGAAACATAAGACATATTGAGAAAATTCGTGTTAGAACTATTAATCTTACTTTTTCAGTCATATTTAATAATATATGTTTACAAGAAAACTGCTACCAAAATATAATATATGTGTATATATATATATATATATATATATATATATATATATATATATATATATATATATATATATATATCCCCTAGGTGTCCTGTTTGCAAACTTCTACATGGGTACCATCGAGCAAAAAGTCTTAGTCGACATGAACTTGAAACCGGCCATATACTGCAGGTATGTTGACGACATTTTTACACAGGTACCTGATGTCAGACATCTGCAGGAGCTGAAGGAGGCATTTGAGCAGAGTTCCGTGCTGCGTTTCACTTACGAGACGGAAAAGGATGGGAAGCTGCCTTTTCTAGATGTAACAGTCATGGAAAAGGGCGGAGGTTTCCACACTGCAGTCTACACTAAGGAAACAAACATAGGAATGTGCCTAAATGCCAACAGCGACTGCCCTGACAGGTACAAGAGGAGTGTTGTTAACGCATACGTCGACCGTGCTCTCAGCCACAGCTCAGAATGGAAGCAAGTCGACGAAGAACTCTGTAGGGTAAGGCAGGTCCTAGTCAATAACGGCTTCTCCAATGGTTTCATCGAAGACATCATAAGAAGGAAAGTGAAAAGCCATGCACCTCTGAAGAGACAACTAACACAACACCTATACCCCCTATTAGACTATTTTACAGGAACTTCTTTTCCACAGCTCATAAAACGGAGGAAAGGGTCCTGAAAGATATTGTTAATAGAAACGTTATCCCTACAGACAAAAATCAGAGGATACAACTGACGATTTACTATAAAACCAGAAAAACGGCCAGCCTACTCATGAGAAACTCTCCAGACACAAAACAGAACGCTTTAAAAGAGCCTAATGTCGTCTATGCCTTCAAATGCCCACTTGGGGACTGTAAGCTCCAAAAAACCCAGTATATAGGCAAGACAACAACATCTCTTTCTAGGCGTTTAACGATGCATAAGCAACAGGGCTCCATTAAGGAACATATAATCTCTTCCCATAACCAAACCATCGCCAGAGAAATCCTAGTAAACAACACAGAAATCATCGATAGATACAGCGATAGCAGGCGGCTTGACGTTTGCGAGCACTACACATCAAGAAGTCAACACCAGCAATCAACAGCCAATTATTGCACAACTATATTCTACCCACCTCAAGACTCCGCTCCAATATAGAAGCATCAAGAAATATGGACCAATAGGCTTTCTACAAACACTTCTATTCAATACCCATTGTTTCTGTTCTGTCTTGTGTTGATACTTTTAATACCCTATTAATATCCCCTCTTGTTCTGTCTTGTGTTAATGCCACATCACCCCTCCCACCTCACTCAAATGTAGATATAAAATCAGAGATACGTAAGTTCTAATCAGTTGTGTATTTGTGAAGTCTTTGAAAATGTAATAAGTTTTACGAAACGCGCCCGTGTCGCGTCAGACTAGAAATAAAAATGAATTTTGGAGAAGTGATTTTTTATTTACCTCCAACAGTGAAGCGTAATGTACGAAAGATTGAGAAAATTCGTGTTAGAATTATTAATCTTACTTTTTCGGTCATATTTAATAATATATGTCTACAGGAAAGACTGCTACCAAAATATCACTAATATATATATATATATATATATATATATATATATATATATATATATATATATATATATATATATATATATATATATATATATATATATATATATAATGTTTCATTTAATATGACAAATTCTGTGTTGATTATCTTCTTGTTTAAGGCTTCTATTCCTCTGACTTGTGCTCTTGCGTCTTGGTTTAATTGGAAGAGGATTTCTTGCACGAGGAAGTAAACATAAATTATGCAGGTAATTTAATATAATTGTGTATCGTGGAGAAATGTGTGTAAGAGAGCGGATATATAACCCACGATCTTTGTAATCTAAGCTTCTTGTCTTATTGTCTTAGTAGTTTCCTTTATTTGTTTAAATGAAATGGTAACTATGTTCCATATGTAGTTATAGTCGCAGTAGTTTCTCTTCTCATTCGTCTTCCTGCAACGAGAGGCTGACGATCAATCAATATCTTATTATAGCCATAAAAGTTAGAATCGTATTAAACCAACTGAATAAAAGGTGGAAACGATCGATCATTGTCAACTGACTACCATAGTTAGTGATGGTTCAACTAATTGCCGCAAGAGGGTTAATGAGAGTGAACGAAAGAGGATGCAGGGAGGAGGTGCCGAAGATGAGGAAGCGAGAGTGAAGAGTGTGGCCCAAGTGAGGGAGATCGACCCAGTTGTGGAGCACACTTGAGGCATTCTTAGTAACCACCGAGGAATCGATGTGGAGAGGGCGGAGTGGGCGTGTGAGGGCGGCCAGGTTCTCCGCTCCGGGCCAAGCCATGAGGATATGAAAGATTCAGACCGCGATTGTGCGGTCAAGGAATTGTTGTGAAGGATCTGAAACAATGGAATAAATTATTTCGTGAGTTGAAGGAGATATTGTAGAGCTGTGTACAGTAGCCCTTGTGACGCAGTGGTAACGCAGCTTGTCCTGTACAGTAGCACGTGTGACGCAGTGGTAACGCAACTTGTCCTGTACAGTAGCCCTTGTGACGCAGTGGTAACGCAACTTGTCCTGTACAGTAGCCCGTGTGACGCAGTGGTAACGCAGCTTGTCATGTACAGTAGCCCTTGTGACGCAGTCGTAACGCAACTTGTCCTGTACAGTAGTCCTTGTGACGCAGTCGTAACGCAACTTGTCCTGTACAGTAGCCCGTGTGACGCAGTGGTAACGCAACTTGTCCTGCACAGTAGACCGTGTGACGCAGTGGTAACGCAACTTGTCCTGTACAGTAGACCGTGTGACGCAGTGGTAACACGTAGTAAAGTAGTAAATTACGTAGTTTACCTCACCCAACATAACTTTACCTTACCTGCCCTTTACCTAACCTTACCTAACCTTACCTAACCTTACTTAACTTTACCTTGCCATACCTCTCTTTTCTTAACGTAACCAAATCTTACATTGCCTTACCTAACTTTACGTTACCTTACCTTAGGTTACCTCACCTTACCTTATCTTACCTAACCTTACCTTACCTAACCTGGTTGATGGGGTTCTGGGAGTTCTTCTACTCCCCAAGCCCGGCCCGAGGCCAGGCTTGACTTGTGAGAGTTTGGTCCACCAGGCTGTTGCTTGGAGCGGCCCGCAAGCCCACATACCCACCACAGCCCGGTTGGTCCGGCACTCCTTGGAGAAAATTATCTAGTTTCCTCTTGAAGATGTTCCCGCAATATTTCTTATGCTTGCTGGGAGGACGTTGAACAACCGCGGACCTCTGATGTTTATACAGTGTTCTCTGATTGTGCCTATGGCACCTCTGCTCTTCACTGGTTCTGTTCTGCATTTTCTTCCATATCGTTCACTCCAGTACGTTGTTATTTTACTGTGTAGATTTGGTACTTGACCCTCCAGTATCTTCCAGGTGTATATTATTTGGTATATCTCTCGTATCCTTTCTAGTGAGTATATTTGGAGAACTTAGAGACGATCCCAATAATTTAGGTGCTTTATCTCGTCGATGCGTACCGTATATGTTCTCTGTATTCCCTCTATTTCAGCAATCTCTCCTGCTCTGAAGGGGGAAGTGAGTACTGAGCAGTACTCAAGACAGGACAGTACTAGTGATTTGTATAGTACAACCATTGTGGTGGGATCTCTGGATTTGAAAGTTCTCGTAATCCATCCTATCATTTTTCTGGCTGTCGCAATATTTTCTTGGTTATGCTCCCTAAACGTTAGGTCGTCAGACATCATTATTCCCAGATCCTTTACATGCTGCTTTCCTACCATGGACACATTTGATTGTGTTTTGTACCCTGTATTATGTTTAATTATTATTTTACCTTACCTAACCTTACCTTATCTAACCTTACCTAACCTTACCTTATCTAACCTTACCTTACCTAACCTAACCTTACTTTACCTTTCCTTACCTTACCTTACCTTACCTCACCTAACCTAACCTTACTTTACCTTTCCTTACCTTACGTTACCTTACCTAACCTAACCTTACCTAACCTCTGCACCAGGGAAGTTGACAGAGTGGTTGTTGGTGTTTCAGATGAGCGGCGGACCGTTGGTGCAGCTCCCATGATGCGCCTCCTTGTCCTCTACTGCCTCCTGCCCTCTGGTAAGTCCTCTACTGCCTCCTGCCCTCTGGTAAGTCCTCTACTGCCTCCTGCCCTCTGGTAAGTCCTCTACTTCCTCCTGCCCTCTGGTAAGTCCTCTACTGCCTCCTGCCCTCTGGTAAGTCCTCTACTGCCTCCTGCCCTCTGGTAAGTCCTCTACTTCCTCCTGCCCTCTGGTAAGTCCTCTACTTCCTCCTGCCCTCTGGTAAGTCCTCTACTTCCTCCTGCCCTCTGGTAAGTCCTCTACTGCCTCCTGCCCTCTGGTAAGTCCTCTACTTCCTCCTGCCCTCTGGTAAGTCCTCTACTTCCTCCTGCCCTCTGGTAAGTCCTCTACTGCCTCCTGCCCTCTGGTAAGTCCTCTACTGCCTCCTGCCCTCTGGTAAGTCCTCTACTGCCTCCTGCCCTCTGGTAAGTCCTCTACTGCCTCCTGCCCTCTGGTAAGTCCTCTACTGCCTCCTGCCCTCTGGTAAGTCCTCTACTGCCTCCTGCCCTCTGGTAAGTCCTCTACTGCCTCCTGCCCTCTGGTAAGTCCTCTACTGCCTCCTGCCCTCTGGTAAGTCCTCTACTGCCTCCTGCCCTCTGGTAAGTCCTCTACTGCCTCCTGCCCTCTGGTAAGTCCTCTACTGCCTCCTGCCCTCTGGTAAGTCCTCTACTGCCTCCTGCCCTCTGGTAAGTCCTCTACTTCCTCCTGCCCTCTGGTAAGTCCTCTACTTCCTCCTGCCCTCTGGTAAGTCCTCTACTTCTTCCTGCCCTCTGGTAAGTCCTCTACTTCTTCCTGCCCTCTGGTAAGTGCCTAACTTCACAGAACCATCAGTAAATACATAGGTTTCAGCTGGTTTGAGATTTTGAAGATGACTGTCAATAGCTTCTAATTTTATACATCTCATAGTTTCAGTGTTATACATTTGTTTTGCACTGATGGGGGTATAATGCAAAGAGACCTGCACATCTTTCCAAGGGGGAATATATCAGGATTAAGAGACACATTCAGTTTCATAAGATTATAGGCACAACAGCTGAGCCACACACTGTAAGGAGCTTTCTGCGGAGGATTGAGGGAACAGTCAGAATTGTTTAGAATAGTTCTCAATTTAATTTGAATAGAGCTCGGGGGATCATTATTTTTAAAAGTTTTGGTACAAAACATAGTACTAAGTAGAACTATTCTCTAATAAATATAAGGTAATCTTAGTTCCTTTCTCACGTTAACAATTCTGAGAGTTGTAGGACAACCCAGGATGATGCGCATGGCATCATTCTGTACTACATCTAGGCCTTATAGTTGTTAAGGAGCAAAATTAAGAAGATGCAAGGCATAATAATCAACAACAGATCGTATAAAGGCAACATAAAAACTACGAGCATATTTTATGTTAATGCCAAATCCTTTGCCAACAAGAGTTTTGAGAGGTTTAAGACGCTCAACAAGTTTTTTACGCAGGTTGCTGACGAGATTTGTATCATTAACCTCGACTCCAAGATATTTATAAGACTCACAAGTCTCCACGGGCACTCCATTAATAGTATAATTAGCATGAAGAGAATGGGGAATAAGATAAGAACCCTTGTTTTATCAACAGAGATTATGAGGCCACATTCTACTACTTTCTTGGAGAATGCATCAAGTAACACTTGTAGCCTTGGTTTACTGTGTGCCATAATACAAATATCATCAGCATAACATATAACAGTTTCAGTAGGTTGTACAGGTATGTCATGGATAAGTTTGTGAATAAGTATATTGCAGAGCATAGGGCTTAGAACACCACCTTGAGGTGTGCCTAGTTCCATCTGTTCTTGTACTTTTAATTCCTTTAAATAGTACACTAGCACGCCTGTTGGATAGGTAGCTCTTTATCCAACTCAGAAGATTACCTTTGATTCCAAATTCAGCAAGTTACTCTAATATTATTTCGCCATTCGCTACATCGAAAGCTGACTTTAGGTCAATAAAGGCTGCCTGTCACCCATCCTGTGAGTGTATAAAATATTCAGTAAAACATGTTTGTGTGCTACAGTTGGGCATAAACCCATATAGGTTAGGAGTCAGTTTTTCTTTGACTTGAAACATGATACGACTGAGAACAATTCTTTCCAAGACTTTTTACACACGCAGGATGTAAGGGAAATGATCTGAATTTTTGAGAGTTAGGTTTAGGAATTGGTCTCTACTTTGTGTCAATTTCTTTGGCAAGATACCTTGAGAGAGGCTGGTATGATAGAGGTCATGCAGAGGGTGGCTAGGGACATCATTCAGTAAGCTCAAGGTGTTATAAGTCATACCATCCTCACCAGGGGCAGTTTGTTTAGGTTTCCCATACCTAACGTACTACATTTTCGGTATCACCCCTACAATTGTTCGCTCTAGAGAAAAACGCAACATTAGGCCTTCAGCAGAGCACATCTATATTGGTGGGGAAGAGGACAGGTTGACTAGTTCAGTGGTTACAAGGGAGGAAGTTATTAAACAAATAGTAAAATTAGAAGCCAACAAGTCCCCAGCGCCAGACGAAGTGTCGCCAGGGTGCTTAAAGAATGTAAAGAAGAGCTTTATGAGCCCTAGTCTTACTCAATAAATCATTACAATCGAGCAGAGTGCTGGAGTCGTGGAGAGTTTCTAATGTCTTACCAATTTATAAGAAGGAAGATAGATCACTCGCGTCCAACTATCGGTCAACGTCTATTTTGGGGAATTTTCCTGAATATATTATTGCTAAAGCAATTATTTATGGATCTTTTGTGAACCACTATTATCTGTTTTTCAGGATGTAGACGAATGGCAGTCAATGAATCAATAAACCAGACATTTAAGGATAAGGATATTGATTGAGTGATTGTCATTCGTCTATATCTTGAAAAACATTAATAAATGATTCACAATATGGCTTGACTAAGGGCTGCTCATGTTGACGAATTTATTTTCACTCTATTGCTGCATATTTGAGGCAGTTGATAGTGGAAAAGATTGTTATGTTGGATACCTTGACTTTAACAAAGCATTTGGTAGAGTACAACAGGAAAGACTGATTACAGAGCGAGAGGTTCATGACACTGGGTGCTATCTTGAGTTGTGTTAAAAGGCAATACAACTTAAAGTTAAAAGTTTAACACAACTGCATGGTTTTGTTAAAGGAAACAAAGGGTTAGTGCAAATTGTGGCGAAGCTTCCTCCTACCGTGCCACTGTTCACTTAAGGGAATACCTCAGTCACTTACAGAGTCCCTCACTCAGCCTTGTACCCCCATTAGGAGTGAGGTAATATTGGCAGCTCCGAGGTCTCCAATCTGCACTGACCCAGACCCAGGCTCCCAGCTGCTGCTGCTGCTGAGTTACCCACCACAAAAGTCTGTACACTAAGGTCACCAATCTAGTTACTACCTCACTTACTGCCAGATAATTTATATTAATTCACTGGTGAATAGCCTCAGCATAAAGTTTCTTAATCGTATTCAGTGTTCAAACCCAGTCTCAAGCAAACAATATGGAGTGTGAAGATTCGAATAAATTCGAACACAATATGTAAAAATTACATAAATATTTGCTGAAAAAAATGGTACACTGGCTTAGGGTCAAATAATAAAATAACGGTCAAAATATGGCAACATTGCTGTGGAATTCGATGAGAGTATGGCAACATCTCTCAACAAATATTATAAGATCTCATTAGGCTTTTATTCTACTCGCTGTTCTCCAGCAAATAAAATATAACTTAAATCTTACACCTGTAGATGTTGCCATAATCTCTGAAATAACAATTATTCTTGTTCAAGTAAACACGAGCGAACCAACAAGGTTGTACATATAACTATATGTATATATCAGCTCACACTCGCCACAAGAAAATCACTCCGCGTTCATAATTTAAATCAACATGTTATCAGACAAGGTATTTGGGAGAAAATTTGATCCACCTTAATACCATAGAATGTCTTCTTCAGTCTTAGCAGCTTGTTTATTATTATTTAATTATTATTAATATTATTAATATTATTAATATTATTATTATTATTATTATTATTATTATTATTTTCTACCACAGACGTGGCCACACATTTACAATGCTAATCAGCATATATACATTTTCCATTTTCTTCTGTCCTCCATGGACAGGATGAGAGGTCTGTTAAACATATAGTTCAGGGATTTATTGAACAATCAACCACAGAAGGTGATTGCAGTGCTTTTAAAATGTTTATCTAACCTACAGACATAAATACATAGATACACAGGGTTACGTCTGCCCTACATAAAGTGGTCGATGTGTTCTTTAAATAGTGGCATTAATGTGCATTTACAAAGGTGAAATGAAATTCTGATCAGCTTCCACGTATAATGTATACATATACATACGCACACGTATGGGAACAAGCCAGAATGGTCCCCTGGACAATATGCAACTGAAAACTCACACCCCAGAAGTGACTCGAACCCATACTCCCAGAAGCAACGCAACTGGTATGTACAAGACGCCTTAATCCACTTGACCATCACGACCGGACATAATGAGGTGATAGCCGAGGCTATTTGAACCACCCCACCGCCGGCACTCGGATAGTTATCTTGGGCATAGCATTTTACCAAATCACCTCATTCTTAGGGGCACACGTGAGGAACACAAATGCGAACAAGCCAGAATGGTCCCCTGGACAATATGCAACTGAAAACTCACACCCCAGAAGTGACTCGAACCCATACTCCCAGAAGCAACGCAACTGGTATGTACAAGACGCCTTAATCCACTTGACCATCACGACCGGACATAATGAGGTGATAGCCGAGGCTATTTGACGTATATATATAGTCATACCATCCTCACCAGGGGCAGTTTGTTTAGGTTTCCCATACCTAACGTACTACATTTTCGGTATCACCCCTACAATTGTTCGCTCTAGAGAAAAACGCAACATTAGGCCTTCAGCAGAGCACATCTATATTGGTGGGAAGAGGACAGGTTGACTAGTTCAGTGGTTACAAGGGAGGAAGTTATTAAACAAATAGTAAA